ATTTTTATTTAGACAAGTTTTTATGAAAGCAAATTTTCCTTTCTTGAGAAAAAAATTGAGCCATCAAGTACCAGTAAAAAATTCTTACATGGTACCACTCATCTACATATTGTGACGTCTACTCTTATAGACGCTCCTACTGGTTCAAACTAACAATCCAGGCCTATTAATCCATCTCCCCCAACAATTCTTTCCTCCACATAAATTAAGAATTGTTTAACTTGAGTTCTAATACCATGTCAAAAAATAATATCACCTCAAAAAATTAACTTTTAGGTAAAGTTTTAAAAATAATTTTATGTTATTTTTTAATATATTTTCTTAAATAAAATCTCTTTAAACTAAAAATTTGTACAAACTTACAGTATTTTGTACTTGTTTTTTTAAAATTGAAAGAAAAATAAAGATGATGCGTGTAATTCAAATTCTTGATCATTTTATTCGTAAAACTCTTATAATAATGTTGGAGGCTGTTGAGTCTTTTTAAATCTTGAAAAATAGCTTAAAAATAAGTTTTTTTTCTCAAATTTATTATTAAGTATCAAACTTTGTATGATAACTCAATAATTGTAACCAAGTAATTAGGACAATGTGTTTTGCATTCTAGTGATCCCACGGTTAACGAGCTAACAGTCTTCATTATTTGTACTTTTCCGGTATCAAACACTAGACCACTTGGCAAATCTATATTTGTATCCTCTCTTTGTTTTTATTTCCATGGCCTCAAGTAACCATAACTTCAACTATTCTTTTTTTCAATTGAATTCCGCAAACATAAGGATTTTATCTGGTTTTCCATTAAAAGAAGAAGAAGAAGAAAGAAATATTCAATGACTTAAAAGTGATTTGACAGTCACTTTTCCCCTTTCCTTGTGTGTTACTCTCTAATACTTCATCGCCGTTCTTTTTCAGCACCAGCTATCAAGAAGTGTTTAAAAAATGAGGTAATTTATCATTTTGTTTTTTCTTCTCCGGTAGGATTTATTCTTAGGATCAAACTGGGCTACAGTAATTTCAAGACATGTTACCTCATTTTTTTGTTAAAAAAAAATATGGAAATTGTTTCCATAAATGTAATTTAGTTTCAAGAAATGTTACTTTAGTATTGAAATCGTCGATGATAAGGTAAGAAATATGTTCACTTACCAATGAGGTTAAATTTTCAAAAATTATAATTAGTGCTTGTAATGTCATTGATTTAGTACTAAGGATCATATAAATGTGTGTGTCCCTGGCAAAAAAAATGCAAACATCCTGGCGGCTGCAGCCATCCAACCCTTCCTATTCTTGCTGCAAGTTTCAGACCATCAGTTTAGAGCAGAGCGTCTAGTGAATCGGAGAAGGTTAATACAGATGGTTCGTTTAAAGCTCCGACTGGCTACGCAGCAGCTGGCGATATTATTTGTGATTCGAATGTGACGTGGTTAGGTGGCTTATCCTATGACATAGGTGTATGTTCTGTTTTATGTTAATTATATTTAAGGGGCATTTTTATAGGCGTGGAATGAGGGGTGTCGGAATGTGGAGGTGAAAGGTGATGCTAATCTGGATTCTGCTTTGATCATGGATGAGTCTCTTTCTTTGAAATCCGATTCGCAATGGTTCAATCTATGGTGTTCTTTTTATACCACATTTGGCAAGTTCATGCTCATTTATTGGATTTGAGAGTTATTTTCCAGAAAGCTTTTACAGTGTTGTTTGGTTGTCCAAAATGAGAATTAAATAATCAAAATAAAATTTTTATTCTAATATGGTGTTTAAAATAGCAATACAGAATCAGAATAAATTTAATTTTTTCTAATATTTAAATTTTAAAATAAATAAAAATAAAAAATAAAAAATAATTTCATCAACTATGATAATGATAAAATAATAAAGATGATTTTAGTAGTAATTTATGTTTTAGAGAAAAAGGAGGAGAAAATGATCGTCATAATAATAATAATATAATTTACATATAAAATGTTTTACCTAAAATAAATGCCTCTTAAGTAATGTGACAATTGTTGTTAGAAAAGATTTTTTTTAAAAAATAATAGACTGTGAATTTTATCATTTTTAATAATGTAATAATAATTATAGAATGTATTAACAAATAAATCACTAACATATACTGCTACATCATTTAGTAAAACAATCTTAATAAAATAAATAAATAAATATTTCCCCTTTCATTTTTTCATGGCTACGTGAGCCCTCGACCTCCGCAAAAATCATTCATTCCCTGATAAACCAGAACGCGTCCGATATACCTTCCCAGTTTGAGCCGAATCCTTTCTAAACAATGTCAATCAATTCAACTATGTGAGAATATATATTTCATGCCCTGTTGTGGTGGATTTATTTCTATGTATTATTAAATTATAATTAATTTTTAAGCGGACAAGGACTAACAAAATTTTTAAAAAGCGATACACCGTATTGATTTCGTTATACAATGAACTGCAACTGATCCTATCCAATCAAAAATAAAATGAGTAAAGAACCTTTTTTTCTTTCATTGATAGAATTGTTAGAACATGAGTTTTTTTTTCTTTTATAATATAAGTTGTTGAAAGTATTATTTTACTATTTTGATAAGTGGAGGCTCACAATCGTTAGTATGAACTACCCTTTCGCGGTTGTGATTATTTTTACAATCACATCAATTTAAAACTATGAATTTCAAGGTATTCTTTTTTGACCCCCATCGTACAGAATCATTAGTATGAACTACCCTTTCCGTGTTCCCATAGTATTATCTTTGTATCTGATATATGCAAGTTGGCAAGAATATCTTCAGCCCACCTTTTTTGGGTTGTTTCTGAGGTATCTTCAGTCCACTTTAACAGAACATGTATGCATGCATCTTGCAAAGGTTGAACGTTCTTGGACTAGCTAGTGTATTCTATAATGAAAACTTTAACCCTAACGAATATAATGCCAAGTTGAAATATGGCATTGAAACAATAATATTCTTATATGCAAGATTTGTTTTTGCCAAGTGAAACACATCTCGACTAACTCATTAACTACACGATAGAAATTAAAGAAAAAGAAAACGAGTGAAAAAAGATAAAAAGTTGAGCTATTGGCTTCTTTAATTTTTGTAACATACGGCAGATAATGTCTCGATTTGATCGGTGGGAGAAAAAGGGGGATATTCTATAGCTGTTCATCATAGTCATGGTAGGAAAAAAAATTGTGGTTGAGGTGAAACTTGGATTAATATCGGCATCTAATCATCAGCATTCACCCAATGAGATAGCCGATATCGAGGACCTACCATGAATTTTCAGTATGCCACATCACAATTTCCAGCTGGAGGATCCCCGAAAGTGAATGAATTATTGGTTCGTGTGGAATGTGGATATCATCAGGTAAATGGGAATCTAGCAACATTTATCATCATATGGGAATGGTCAAGAAAATGACAGCTCTTACTGCTTCCACTAATACCTCCATCAATTACTTAGTACATGAAGGGTCAATGTGGGCTCATCGTCACCGAATCGTTATTTTTTTGGGTGTATTAATTAGATTCCCGCGCGTCCTCTAGAATATTGCTCTTGCAATAAGTTCTGAAACTCTGCTGGTCTCCGTAATTTGTTCCTGTTTTAATTGAAATAAGCTGCTGGCTGGTGACTGGTGAGAGTGAGTTAAGGGGTGAAGATGTTAGCCAAAGCTCGACACCATTGTGAATGATGGGGCAAGAGTAAGGTTGTTTGGCTCGGGTACTATACCGTGAATAATGCCTTGATGGTAGCAAACATTAGATGAGACTGTGTACTCCGAGTATGGAATCCCGTCAAAACATTTGGCCACCATGCATCCCCTTTTCCATGACAATCGACTCCCAATCCTGACATGTCATTTTCATGAGACGATATTTATATTTGCATTCTGTCATCCATTACCGCAAGCCTCTCTCCCAGCCGCTTTTTCACTCCTATTCCAATCCTTTATCACACAGGAAAGGACAACAACCTTTCAAGCAAAAAGGAATTAAATACTTAATATTTTGGCGCCATTTCGTTGTTTATATCTTGATTTTTGCTCGTTAATCAAAACCAATTTCTCTTGCCCACGTCATGCACGCCGAAGTCTGTGCAAAATTAAATCATTAGTCAGACATGATGTATATAATGTAAGACAGCAGGTTTCCATATGTACAAATTACATTACCTGCTGATGGTTTATATATTTTCTCTTTTTTTGTTCCTTGGGTCAGGCCCAGAAGAACTTACCCCCAAAACGTTTGGGCCATCGCGTGAGCTGTAACAACCTTTCGTGCCTCCAATGGTTTCATACTTCCGCACTTTCCAACTTCAGATGCGGTTTACGATCCAACACTGTAATCGTTAAAACCCGACAATTCACGGCATTCAACTTGTAAATTAAATCGGTGTAAACATAGTTTAATTGAAGTAACAGAAATATAAACTTGGATATGAAGATATAACAAAAGTTAGTAGCCTTGAAATAATGCGCATATGATCAAGCGCTGAATTCAGTTGCATGGACAGGCATGTGGTCGTGAGCAGGGCGGGGATTATTCTGTCTGCCAGAGGGGTGGGAGGGGAAAGATGGGATGTATAATGGGATAATCTAACGAAGTCCAATCAAGTTAGTCAATTAAAAGTTACAGTGATTGTTCAAGTTTACCTAAACAACCGTCTGGATACTGATACAGTACTCATCTTAGCATCTAGTCCGAGTATAGGTGGTCCTTTCACGAGGTGATTCAATCAACAAAAACATACATTATGGGCATTTGAAAAACAAAGAGGCCTAATTAAAATGAGTAAAAAAGAAGGGGAAGCCTAATGGGGCAAGGGGAACAAAAGCTTTGAATTAAGATCAATAAAGAGATCAGTGGTCTGGGCAGCATACAAAACAAAAACCACCCAGAGGGCAGAAGGCATGACGATACTGTTAATTTGATCCTCAAATGGCTTTCGTATGAGCTCCACATCCAGAAATAGACCGTGTTTTATAAGAACCTTCATAGTAAGAAGCTTCTATGCCTTCTCTCCGTAGGAATTCTCAAAAACTGGGACCCCTGGTCCGTATATCAAACGGCAGCGGTCACTGAATGAACCAACCAGTCGGGAGACTACCTCCTTGAAAAACACAGATGCCACCTGTAAAACAAAGACCACACTAGATCAAGATGCCAAGTTTTGCAAAACAAATCTTAAAACCTCAAGCATATTACAGATATTCTTCCCATGATAAATATACGAGTGCTGACATGGTAAAATTATACAGGTTAATGAATTTTGAGATATGAAAAGATATGTCATTCCGAGTTACTGCAAGTCACTACTACCCTACTTATCCGGTTTACTTCTTCCATGACATTCAATAACTAAGGCCCATCACTACTGCCACACTGATTCCAATTGACAACTTCTTGGCTGAGAATAGTCATTCCACAACGAAAGGTTTTGGCAATCCAGAATTTCCTCCAATCTTTTCACTTGTCTTTTTGAAGGTAACACTAAATCCTGGTGCAAATTACACTCAACCCACCATATTACAAGCCTATTCATAAAGCAACTCCATCCCATTCGCTGTGTTGTAACTAGAACTAACAGGAGGCTAGAGAACAGTGATGATAAAAAGGAGCTCCCTCCCTCCCTTCATCCCCTTTGTTTTGTTTGAGCAATATTATATAAATTGTGCTTCATTAAAAAAATATGATTTATTTTTTTATAAAACAAAAGCACATTAAAAACCAGAGGGAGTCAATTTCGTAGACCACATTTCCCCTTTGGTCAATGTCATCAATTGTGTCCAAACAACTAACATTTACAAGCACAAAGTACAATGGTACAATGTTTGTAGGAGAGTGAACAGTTTTTCTCATCCAACTACGTTTCCACTAATCAATTTCAGGTTATAGATGTCCTTCAAACCATTTTAAAAGTGCTATTGTCAATCTACAAATTTAGAATTTGTTTTCCTCAAAACTAGTGCAACATGCATTAAAAAAACAAACTGCACTTCTCATATTTTCACGCCAGCCAATATGATATTTTCAATTGGAAAAGTTAGGTTTCTTAAAGTGATTATGTAACTAACTGTACCAGGTATAATCACCAAGAAGGAGGATAATTTCCTATTCAAACAGTTGAGACCCATATGAGAAATTACTAAAGCCTGAGTAATGCTATGAATATTTTTTCTTATCGAATTGTGTCTTAGTTTATCAAATTGCATGTCTACTCTAAAACTACAGTTTACAAACTAGTATACTATTAAAATCGTTAAAAAATAACACATAGGCTCATTTAGGACTTTGAAATGTTTAACCCCTCTTTAAAGAACTGGTGTGCTGGTGCTTTTGGAATTTCTACATCTGAACACATCATAGAAATATGTATTGAAGCGCAATACATTGGAGTTTCAAGTAGATTAAATTACTATGCTTTTAATTGGTGTATTTAACTTTGTGTAAACAAGAAACATAGCTTCCAAAAAGAACAAAGAGAGTATTCACACAACTGACAACTACAAAATCACAGATTAAAGCTTTTAAAAGAAATTGGACAGTGTTTTCACCCAATTTTGTGTCTACTTTCCAGTTTCAGTTCAAAATTAATACCCTCAAAACACTTTCAAAATCTAATGTGAATTTCACATTAGTCTTTTATTTTTATTTAAACATTACCTCCAAGTGCAAAAAATACATGATGGGTCTCTTAGAATAATTCATGTAGTTATACATCAGTCACATTGCAAAGTAAATATTGGTATCCACAAGAGGCATGGGGTTGCTTAAGCACGCAGCATGCATATGAGTAGTGTTGGTTGCTTTTTGATAGTATTCCAGCTTATCTCCACTTCAAATTGTAACTTTTTTTATCAGTAATTGGTTTCTAAATCCAATTTCAACGTCTTTCAACAGTGCCAATCAACCTTAGTGCCTTCATCAAATGTCTAATAAAAATGTATGCAAAACTGCAAGATGTAGATTGCTTCTTTTAAATTCAATAGAGTAATTCCACATTTTTCATTCATTTAGTAACTTTTTTGATAGCAACCAACATATACCTCATAAGGAAGGATATATAACAATCATTTGCACAATAGAATGAGTGGTGAATAAAACATACAAGAAGAAGCATCTCTTGAATTTCATAATTCCAAATTACAATTAACAAATTCAGAAGGATAAGATTATCACCTGTCTGTAAAGCGGTGACTGGAATTTAAAGTCCACTAGAAAATAAAGGTCACAAGATCCTGGAACTGGCCCCGGATTGAATTCCCAAATATTTATCAAATGATCAAAGAGGTTACTCTCTGATGTAGTTGTCTGGAAGTAAAGGACAGTAAAGAGTAACATTATCAACTAGAGAACTGAAAATTTAAAAGACTTCAAAGCAAATGACAATAGCATCTTTAGTCTGAGCATAAAACAAATTAAAATAAGCAATTGCAAGTATAAGAGCTAACTCAGGTATTTAACAGTGCAACTTTGCAGTACTAACACTGTTTGTGTTTTAGGGATTTGACAGGGAAGGACGGGGGAACCCCCAATTTGTATTTGGAAAATATTTTTTAAGAGGAAGGGTAGGGAATGAGAGGGTTTGCAGGGGAATAGGACGGTTTTTTATAAACCCAAACTTTGGTAACTGCCAAAATCTATAATACCCCAATTTGGGGTATTAAGGAGGGAATGGTATAAGTTCTATAATTTTTTGCCTCATTTTTCCTTTTTCAAGCCTTATCTAATTCCAAATCCATCCTTTCTATTAGAATGATAAATAATAACATATATGGCTTATATTTATAGTTAATTAGTAATTCACAAAATTAAACCTTACCTTCCCTCCTTTAACCAAACAAAAGCGACATTCATAACCTTCCGTTCCCCGCATTTTATCCAAACTAGGAATGGTTCACATCCCACCTTTACTTTCCCTTCCCCTTCCAAACCTTATCTTTACTTAACCTCCCCTACCCTTCCCTCACCCAATCCAAACATAGTGTAAAGGCTTTGCTGAACTGGCAGAAACTTCTTACTAAATAAGCGAATAAGTATGAGAATTGCCTTCATAATTCGAATTCAAGTTTCTCAAAAAGCAAGCAACCTATAAACTACAACAAGTTTGTATATAATCAATACATCTATTGGAGACTTTTTTTCAATCACATTCATTTGATCAGAATATTGCTCCCCAATTTTGACCATTTTCAACCTGCCTTTTCTTCACAGTCAAACCATCCATAAATTCATCAAGAGGGCAAAGTTCTACTTTTTTTTTTTTTTTTCCTCTAAATTCCCCTTTATCTATCAATTTCAATGCCAAAAGAACCTAAAAAGTTTCAGCCACATATCACTTCATTGAATCCCTAATTCATTATTCTTATCCCACATTCTCATTGAGACACTTAATAGAAGCAAACCTCAAGAAGCACATGTGTTTACCTTAAGAGACTTCGGTCTGTTTAATTCTACATGAGAAACATAACTCTCAACAAGAAACTTAAAACCAATCTCCAACTCCGCATCAAATGATCCATCCGGATACCGTTTCAGTATCTCCGACCGCTGACACCATGGTACAAACCCATGATACAAATCAACAGCTGCAACCACATCAAATAACTGCTCCGGAGAATACCTTTTTCACCAAAATTACACAACAAAACAACTCAATTCAATTATAAAAACATAAGAAAAACTAATTTCTAAACTTGCATTACAGTATTAAAATCCTCATTGGATTGCACAATAAGAAATAGGAATTAGAGAAGGAAATGACAAAATTACCCTAAAACACGCCTCTCTTCATAAACCTTCGATAGAACACTGCCTTCTTCACCGTCACCGCAGCCAAGAAACCCTCGCTTTTTAATAGTGTTATTATACAAATTTCCTAATGTGAAACCAAAATCTTTCTGGTTATTATCAATTACTCTGCTAATTGATGGATTTGAGATACCGGCAAGGCTACTCAAGCATCGAATTTGATCGAATTTGTGCCCATTGTGATTTATCGCAGACCTAAAGAGATATTTGGATACATTTTCACGGGTTATTAAGGAACGGATTGCTTTAGAGGTTGACATTATAAATAGAGGTGAATCTTGATTTTCGATAAATAAAAAGCACTGCAAAAATTGGAGAAATTTTGAATGAGACAGGGGGAATTGAAACCCTAACAATCTGCAGAGAAGAGAAGGGAGGAGAGGGACCGTACCTTATTAAAAGACCACAAAATAATTTATTTCCAAAGTGAAGGGCGTCAAGTTGGACAGCAACGCGAGACCGAGTTGGATGTGCGTACGAATTGTTTTTCAGAATTCTATTCTAGGTAGGGGTGATCAACAGATAATCGGATCGGTTTTTTAAATATTGGTATCTAAACCGATCATTGTGTTTTTTTTCAATTTTGCAATCCGATTCAGACCCGTCAAATTAGAAAAACTGAATGAATGGGCCAATGTGGATCGGTTATAATATCTACAAATAATTCAAAATTGAGCTTTCTAGTAAAAAAAGAGATCCGAGAGGATTGAAAAATAAAAACAGAAATGATGAGAGTGAAAATATACTGATTAGTCAATAACTACCAGGTTATGAAGAAAAAGAGTAAAAAAATTTCAAACGAGTGAAATTTAGAGAGATAAGGACATGAGAATTTCGGAGAATTCAGAGAGATGAAGGGAGGTTGAAATGACAAAGAAGGATCAATAGGGTTTTTGTAATAATTCATTATAAATTTTGCATAGCGATGTAGGTGGCAAAGGTGATATGTTGAGGTAAAAATAAGAAAAAATAGATAAAATTAATTAGATTTGTCACTTAATATTATGGTCATCAGAAAATCATATGACTGGTCTACTCAAAGCTTCAAGTAAGAGATTTATTACGTGTAGGAAATATTAAAAATCATCATATCCCGTCCTGCTTAAGACAAGATGCATTGTATAAGATATTAATTTGATTTTTGATTTTTTTATGATGAGAATTTATACCTATTTTAAAAGATTTACCTATTAGTCGAGTGATTTTGGAGTTAAAGATTTTATTCTTACTCTGTAATAAATAGCTAAGAAAAAAATGAAAAAACATGATGAATGTAAGGATATGTGGCTAATGTAACCTAAATGACATGCGTCAAAACGAAATTTTAAAAATAAACAAATAGACAAGCAAACAAAATAGATAATTAGATAAAATAGATAAAATTAACAAATAAGAAAATCGATAAAATCAATCAGTAAATAGGTAAAATCGATAAATAGAATGTTGAATTGCAGCAGAACGATGACAAAAGTTGCCATTAATTCGTTCAATAACACTATGAGTTCGTAAAATCGGCTCAATTAGAGCTAATATTTTAATGCCACCCAATTGCTCCATTAAATAGGTATATCCGAATACAGAAGTTTCACGTGGGATAAAAATCAAATCTATATACTAGATTAACAATATGATCTAGTCTACAAATGACACGACGGACGAAAAGAAAAAAAAACAAAGAAAGAAAAATGCTCGATCGAGCCGAGATAATCATGTAATGAGTTAATTCCTCTATTTGTAAAATTTTAAACGTAATCAACTTTATCTCGAAATCTAAACCATAATTTTTATTTTTACTAAAATAAAAAAAAAACCTTCAATATCTTGATAAAATCAATAATATTCAAATTCACATTTTATCAAAAGAAAATTCTTTACGTTGACTAGTGATTGAAATGCGTAACTCAATTCATATAACATCATTCGTTGGTGACTCGATATTTAGATTTAATTAGCATATATCTCGTGCATTATCGCAAAGTGAGCTATACAACATTCTTATGTGTTTATTTATATAAAATATAAAATTTAAAAATAATTATTTAAAAGGATCATATGGAAAAAAAAAAAAACTAAAACATATATCTCATATTTTATCGCGTGGGTTAGTTAAATGAAAAGTCTGTAAAGTTGAGTAATATAATGTTAATAATTAGATATTACTTGATATAAACATGTATTTTATTAGAAATATGTATAATAACTAATAATTAAATTAATGATGTGGTAGTTTTTTGAATTTTATATGATTAATTTTTACCATACATTCTTCATCCGTAATTTGTTAATGAGATAGAGAGACCATCCAAGATAAAAAGGCAAAAAAGCTTTATCAAATCGAGAATTTAGCAAAATAAATAAATAAAATTACACACATTAAAAATTAAATGATCAAACCAAAGTAAAGATCATAAAAGAAGGATCAAAATAAATAAATAAAAATTCACTAAAAGCAAAAAAAAAAAAAAAAAAAAACTTATAAACAATAAGACTAAAGAAAATTCATTATACACAAGGCATGAACAAAAGTAAAACATAATAGAATTTTAATGACCAAAATAAAAAAAAATCATAAAATAAAAACTAAAACGGAAAATATTTTTTTGCTAAAAGCAAAAAAAAAAAAAAACACTTAGAATAGTGAAACCGTATTTAATTTTAGTGTAGAAAGAATAATAATCAAATATAATAAAACTTTAATGATCAAAATAAAAGAAAAATCACAAAATAAAAATCAAAATATAACAAAAAGTTTTACTAAAAGTAAAAAATAGTTCATCGTAGGAAAAAAATCAAATATAATAAAAATTTAATAATCAAAATAAAAAACAAATTACAAAACAGAGACTAAAATAAAAATAAAATTCTACTAAATTCAATGGCCAAAACAAAGAAAAAATAACAAAATAGGAATTATAATAGAAAGAAAAGTTTCATTAAAAGCAAAAACATGGTAAAAATCAAACATGATAAAACTTTAATGACTAAAATAAAAATATATCACAAAATAGGAACAAAAAAAGGACATAAATTTTTACTAAAAGCCAAGAAAAAAATATTTATTATAGGGATAAAAATCAAATATAATAAAAATTTAATATTTATTATAGGGATGAAAATCAAATATAATAAAATGTTAATGATCAAAACAAAAAAAGTTATAAATCAAGGACTAAAATAAAAATAAAAGCCAAAAGAGGGGCTTGAAAAACACAGCAAGAGAAACAAAGAAAAGAAAAGGAAAAAAAAAGAAAAAGAGGGGAGGGGGAACAGTAAATGAACAGGGAAAGTGCTTCCGTTTTCATTTAGTATATCTTGTAATTTTCATCGTATATGAAATTTATTTGTTTTTGTCATATTCTCAACTAATAGAGTATTTAGATAACAATTAATTATCAGTTTCAACTGAGTCGATTTTACAAATAGAGTTACCATGAGCAGTTTTGAATAGTTAAACAAAACATAGTAGCTATATGAGCAATTTTAAATAGTTAAACCAAACATAATAGCAAAATGATAGGTAAGCTTAAAAAACGAGACATTAAGGTTTGTTCTACGAGTTTGGAAGCAAAACCAGTACCAAAATGTATGTTTGCAACGTTAAATTATTTGGTGGAGAATATTTCGATTTTTTAAAAATAAAAATCTATTTCTGTAGCAAGGATTTGGACTTGAAGCGTAGAGAGAAGTTGGAAGAAAAAGAAAAACGTCATCTACTCATCGTTCAACACGACAGGAGAAGACCCTGGGTAATGTTATCTATCGGAAGCAATGGGACTTGGGATATTATATATATATATATATATATATATCACGTCATCGACTCATCGTTCACAACGAAGGGAGAAGATCCCTGGGTAATGTTACTGGAAGCAATGGGACTTGGGATTATATATATATATATAAAGAATAGCATAAACATTAATTCTTTGGAAAAATCTCTTTTCTTTCCGCTACTAAATCAACAAAAAATAACGTTCGTATCTTAGTTACCAAATGTAAAAATTCAAAACCCACTAGCTTACCTACTGACAAGACAGTCTCGGACACCTATCATCATAGCTTAAATAAAAAACTTAATTGTGTACAAAATCAGCTAACTTATGTCAACATACCAAATAACTCACATGCAACGTATACAATTACGACAAAACAAATAAAATGTTACAGCCAGATAAAGATTAGTAGTCCACAGCGGCAGAACAATCCTCCAGCTCCTTTGTCTCTGTAGCATCAAATAAATGCCATTTATTCTTTGCTGTAACCATGTTAAGAAATGCCTCGCAGTATCTCCTCCTCCCATCCTCCATTCAAAAGAAAAGAAAAAAAATTGCTTATCCAGTCACTTCAAGGGTTAGAAAATTAGTCACGCAAGCCTGCAACTTGCTGATCAGCATTGCAAGTCCCCTTTATTTAGCTGCAGAAATACACTCATCAGTAACCTCTTCTGCCACAGGAGGCTTGCTGTGGGGAACAACCTGTAACAGCAGTTAACGGGAGGGCTAAACTGAGACTACAATCCTCAAAAAGTTTTGTGAGCTAGTGCTCAAATGAAATGGTGTTGATCGATCAAATTTAAAGATTACCTGGTCGCTACTCAATGAATCAGTTTTCAGAGTTTTTATCCTTTTTGAACTGAATGAACTGCTTGCCTTTTCACCTTTAATATCTTCATCAACGAAGTTCTGATCTGACATCTCTACAAGAATGATGCAGATGCCACTCAGTTTGATAGCAAAAAATTGTTGTTATAAGCATTCACTTGTTTTTGTATTTTTTTCCACTGAAGCATTAGCACACAACGGCCACCGACTATGCTTGCCATGTACTAAACAATTAATTCAACAATGTTTTCCACACTTCAGTCTGTTTTTTTAACTAACTAATTTAGAGCACGATCAAAACTACTTTCTCGACTTTCTAGCCCCCAAACTCCAAAATATTTACCCATATAAAGTTCCTAGTTCAAATGTTTTGGAACATGCTTCTGCCAGTCTTTTTCCTTTACATGTCTGCATGTGTGTGTATCCTTCAAGTCTACAGATAGAGCACTACATTATCCTGATCTTACATTACATAGTTCACTGTACATCTCAGACTGACATGGGAGAAGCAGAGCGATGATGCTGCCAATTTAAATTTAAATATACAACAATAAAAGATCAAGGAATCAACTAACAGAATTCATAGAATACGTGTACGAATTCTCAGAGTTTCTTCTCTAATCTTTTAGTGTTACAATAATTGTAGATCTGGAAAAAAGATGGAAAAACATAGCAACCCAGAGCAGAAAGGGAATCTTCAAGTAAAAACAGCAAATACAATTAAGAGCACCTGTGTTGTTGTCAACCAAATCACGATGACATGAAAAGGAGTTGCCTAAATGAGAATGTTTTGAACTAGTTGCTGGACAGCGGAGCATTGCCTTCTTCCCATTTAAATTGATTGCTCGACTTTGGGTAGCACCTTCTTGAGGAGCAGGAGATGCAATACCTTCTGGTTTGCTTGCAGACCTAAAGTGCTGAATCCACGGGCTTGTTAAAAAGCCACGGGATTCCATTGCTGAGCTTTGCTGTGGTTCAGGCCTTCGAAAATTGATTTTCTGCCAGGAGCCACGTCGAAGAACCTTAAACTGAAATAAATTTGAATGAGAGAACAAAACAGAGGAAGAAACACTAGGCAATCGCAAGCTCACAGACAAGAGCAAAATGGGAAGAACATCAAAGCTAACAGAAAAGATCAGTTTCCAACCTGGCCAGAAGGAGTACAGGTGCTACAATTTACTTCCGCAGACAAATTTGGAACTGACCCCTCCTTCTGGGACCGCCAACCAAGAAGATCGATCGAATTGTATAATTGATTGACAAACGACGCCTCCATGGATTTAAGATAAAGATTATGTTTCTCATCTGTCCATTCTGAAGACATAGATTCTATCACTGGTGAATCCTGACATGTATAGTTAACATTATGATCAGAATCCTTGAAACGTTTTTTTGTTTTTTAAAGACTTGTGAATTAATTAATTCCCATGTATAATGGTCTTCGTTAAATTTTGTGGCAAGGAAAATCCTCACATGTTGTCAACAGGCTATTACTTAAACTCAGCCGTCTTCCTTCTTAGGTTGAACAACAAAACAAGTAATAATAACTTTAATGAAAATCAACAGATCATGAAAACACAATTTCCAAAAAACAATCACCAAAAATATCTTCTTCTTCCTTTTTTTTTTTTGGGAGAGGATAAAAGGGCAGAGATCTTATGTAGTAATAATCAAATGGTTTTGGAACTCAGTATTCATGATTATAAAAATCAAAGACGTCAGACCCAGATATCAGTAAATCACAAAAACAGTGGGAAGAATATTAAATAACAAAGAAAATATTCCTTTTTGCGACTTCAAATATTGGGGGAAAAAAGAAGTAATCTTGCTTTACAGTTTACAAGCTAAAAACAAGAAGGAAAAAATAGAATTCATTCACTACTATATTGCCTCTTCAAAATAAGAAAAAGGTAAATCTAAATGGTATCCAAATTGTCATTAAAATCAATAATAATAATAATAAAACATATAAATAAATTTGCAAAAACATACCCAAGAAGACTCAGAAGACAGTACCTGCTGCGCGGACTCGCCTGACTCGTAACCAGTTAGCCCAGACGTTTCTGAACTCGTTTGACTTTCAGTTCCTCTATAATCATCCATATACACCATAAAACAATATCTTCACAGAATTGGAGGATTAGATGGTCAGATTCAGAGAAACCTAAGAACACAAAAAATAGGAGAGCAAGAGAGAGAGAGAGAGAGAGAGGGAGGGAGGGAGCGAGAGAGAGACAGAGAGAGAGGAAAGCAAATGTGAAGAATGAGAAGTGGGGGCTGGGACAAAAGAACGTTACAGTTGTCACCGCTTTTACACGTGTCATGGGGCCATCACTTGCCACGTCAGTAGGCAGACTGATTAGCGCTAAGGCAGAGGCAGATATTTTTGGTGAAGATATTTTTGAGAAATTATTAGGTGTGTGAGGTGGAAAGATTCTATACTTCTCCAGGATTTACGAGTCAGGATTACTGAGTTGTAAAGTCCAATAAATTAAAAACTTACATATAAAAAAATAATTATGTCAAGTTATCAAAATTTTGAATTAAAATACTGCAATAAAAATCTTATGTTTTCCAATTAATATGGAATTTTACTTCTATATTATTGGGGGATCTACATGCTTTTCAAATTCAATAATGCTGAGTTGAGTTGAAACGGAAGAATTAATGTAAAAAAATCCTATGAGAAGTTATATCTTATATTCTGTTCTTTCACACAACATAAATCTCACTATAAAATTAATTATATATATATACTTTTCTGTTTTGTTTGGGTATCGAAAATATTTTCCTCTCTCCTGTCTGTCTGTCTGTCTACTACGGTTAATATGCAACGGTTGCAACTATTATCAGCCATTATTTTAGGTTTTTTTTTCTTTTTTTTTTTCCTTGTAAATTCTGCTTCTTGTGCATTTTTTTAACTTTAGTGTATCGTTTTGCCTTTTTTCCCGAAATTTTTGTATATTCAATCCGTCAACACGTTATTTTATGTTCGTCTTTCTATTTAACTGCATGATGAGATTTCGGGTTCTTTCTTTCTTTTTCTTTCTTTTTTTTTTTTTGTGACACATAATTTTATAGAAATTTGACTAAAATAAATTAATACGCCTTTCCATACGAAGCTTGGAACTAAAAACTTTTAAATTACAAACTTAATGAATTCTGTGACCATAGAACAAGTAAAGACAAATAGGCATATGAGAGCGTATTTTATATTTACCGCAGCTAAACCAGCTCATTTTGTTCCTGTTCTTCTCATTTTTTGGCTACTTATATTCTATATGTCTATATTGCTCGGATGTAAGTATGTTTCTCCTTTGCCAGCTAGGTCAAATTAAAGAAATCCAAACTAGCCCCACGTCTGGGATGATTTATTTATTTATTTTATTATTTGCTGAAATTTTCAAAGGAAATGTGTTTTTTTCAAGAGTTCTTACTAAACAAATCATAGGTAATTTGTTCACTTTTTCTTTCAACATGGCAACATCAGTGATCAGCCTACCATATGCGGCATCTCTGAGTTAAGAACGGACGGAATTAAAAATCGGGAGGCTGTTATTGATTGGACTCATCCAGTGATAAAAGAACGGATAATCCTGGAAATAATTGAGCAACACACAGTTTATGCAATTTTTAACATAGGCTAGAGTGGGGTTAATCATTGAAAATGAAAATGCTAATTCGAAGCATAGAGAATAGACCCTACGCACAGTTGGAGATAGGCCATTGTACGTGGACACAGGAACGTATTGTGGGACAAAGACACCAGGCTCCTTGACCGACCGATATCAACCACAAATGGGGATAAATTCAAGGGAAAGCATATGGTGCAGGTGGTTCCATCATCCATGGAATATTGGTGCTTCATGAATGAAAGGAAAGCAAACGCCAAAGCACGGAGAAAATTCCGATGGCTACTTTTTATAAGCACCACAACCTATTCCATCATGCAATGAAGAAAGTTCCAGCTTTCTCATCCAAACCCGTAAATGAACCACATGAATTATTTCATGGTAATTACACGTGGAATTTTAATACGAACAATATTTAAAATTTCAAAGCTCTCATTCTGGCAGAAAAATATACAAAAGTGCATTAATTGGAAAGTTTTGTCTTTTCGTACCTGGCCCTGACACGTGTAAAAAAAAACTCTCAAAAATTGTTTTCGAATTGAATTGAACTATTTACTTGCTCTAAAGTACCAAAACACATTCGCGTAGGCAAAAATCATTTTAGCCGCAGAACGCATCGACCCCTTAAGCTAATGGTGTCCTTTGTTCATGTCTTCATACAGCAACTCTGCCAATTCAACCTCGTATTCCTTTCGTAGATTATACTCATGGCAAACTAGGAATACCGACAGCACTTACAGCAAAACGTGATAGTTGGATCTCATGCCTCTGGCTTCTGCTCACCTTCTGATATTACAGTCTCTTGCAGGTCAATCTGACCTGGATTAGCCGGGGGAAAAAAACGTTAAATTAAGCCAATGATTACCAGCAATTGTAAAATCAAGAACTAGCTTAACACTTAAATTTTTTGCCCTCTGAACATGAAGGGCAGGTTCAAGAAGAACAACACAGACTAAAGTTCTGTCTGATGCTACAATTCAGTCATGCAAATTTGATGATAAGATGCGTTGATGATGCCAGGCCAGATAGTTGTCATGAGGAAGTAAGAAACCATTGAATCCATTATAGAACTAGCAGCACGTCCAATCTTCTACTGCACCACCACCGTAGTGGTGCAACAACTCTACACTACTACCACATTGAATTTTAATTAAAGGAGAAGAAACCATACCTAACAAGGAAATTAGAGATGGAGCCTTCAAAGATTCATTCAATTTCATGTCTGTACCTGAAATCAGCACCCAAAGTCAATGACACTAGCCCTACTATTCATATAATGTATGGTCAATTCTGTAAACTACACGCACAAAAACCACTCTTATCCAGTATTCCCATGGGACGGTAACTCTAAGGGAGGAATAAAAACCCAGTGTGAAAAAATCCAGTGTATTTATATATTGCTAATTTGCGGTTTGAGCATAGTCAGATAAAATGAACACCATTTAGAAAAACAACGCAACGGCTCAAGTGAACTACTGTAAATCTGCGTATATATAATAATGTCAATAGAGAATAGAGAAAAGCTTTCTCCATTTCATTTGCACTTATACAACTTAAAATTCTGACCAGACGAAGTCACATAAGAAACTCTGTGCATATTTAACTATTGACTATTAAGTGTATTGCAGAATGACCACCGCCTTCCTTCTTTCCTTCTGCATTTTTTGTAAGGTAATGCAGATTAGATTCCAAGTGTTCAAAATTCAGCTGGGCCAGAGTCCCTTTCATTGAACGAAAAGTTTGGATAATGCGCTAAAATGGTTAAACAAAGGAATAAGGCAAGAAAAATGAAGGTACCAAAGAAAGCTGTCAAAATCCAAAGCAGCTTACCTGAACTTTCCAGTGATCTAAGGATGTCTGATTTCTTAAAAGTGAATCCAATAAAATTGGTATCTTTTGATGTCAACATCTGCACCATGGAACAAGAAAAAAACACTGAAAAACTAGCATCACAGCTAACATAAACCACGTGGAAAAAAATTGGATAAAGGCATGCATATTTTAAGAAGTAAATGATGCACATATATGGAAAAATTATAGAGCTATTTAATGTACATAATCTATCACCATAATTATACAGTCGAGCTGCCTAGACAAACCCAAGGGAATAATGAAACAGTTGTTCATACAATTTTAACAGTACCTTAGCTACATTATCATGATTGAAAAAAAAAACCCTGTTGATCATTTCATTTATAACTATGGATCTAAATTTGGCTTTCAAGGACTTTTCTGCATAAATAAAAAGTTAAACTTCAAATAATGTCGTTACCTTCCTCCAAGGTCCTACACTTGGTATTGCGGATGGTGGCCCTTCCAACTGCAAAAAAGAAAAAAGCTTATTAAAAATTCTTCTTTTTGAGGAACACATATACATAATAACGTTAAAAAATGAAAACATACATATATGATGACAAGCAAACATAATGTAAGAGACACGAGATAAATGGTCCAGGTTATGGAGAAAATGGTTACAGGGTCAAGCTCCGTTCAATGAAAGCTACACCAGTCAAAACTGGAAGTGCAAGAAGAACTAAGTTAAGACCAAAGAAGACATGTTAGAACCTGGGAATGAAACACTGGCTGCTTTAACCTAAAAAAATGGCATGGCTTTGAATGGAGAAACCGTTGATATGGGATCTCTGTTTGTAGAGCTGATAGTTGGAAAAGTTCTTAGGTAAGTTGAATGAGTTTGAAAATTGCAAGGACGTCTACATCTTATCAGTGTCAAATTTTAGACCAAACGAGACCACAAATTATATGCTGCAATCTTTTTTCAATGTACTCACATCAGGAAACTTCTCAAAGTTCTGAGTATCCAAGTCTCCATTGACTGTAGGCTTATATGCAGCTTCCAATTCATATAGCAAATCCCAATGAGTGCATCTGAACCATGGATGCGCCTGAAACAATGGAGAATTTAGAACAGAATACTGACCATGTCAAACCCCTCAGCTGCAGTAAAAAAGGTATTGATGTAATATCACAATTCTCTTAAAGCAGCCAGCAATAGCGCATAGCAATTGTGAAATTGAGAATAAAATGAGGTATGGGTGTTTTACACCTTGACAACTTCAAGGTGGTAGATTCCCCGATTCGATAATTTATTAGTGCTTAAACTATCCTGGAAGTTGAAAGAGTTTAACAAGAGCAGAAATTTCTGCTGCTTTGTCTGATGTGTATGATGAAGGTTGTTATTATTGGGAAAACATTTACCTTCAATTCTTCAACTCCTCTGGTTCCCAGTCTTGTTTCAACATCACAGAGCAAGTGGCAAATTAGATCTTTGGCCTCACTAGATATCTTCGGTTCCTCAGGGAATTTGAGACATGTTTTCCAATTGATTATCTGATAATAACAAATACATTGACAATTTAGCAACCATGAAGAATTCTAAGAAAATAATGGCGAATCACAACTTCGGTGCAACCTTGCGGCATGTGATCCTAGGATCATCAGAGCAGAAGGGAGGATAGCCTATAAGCATCTCATACATGATTGCACCAAGGGACCACCAATCACATTCCATTCCATATCCCTTCTTCAGTAGCACTTCAGGTGCCATATAATCAAGAGTTCCCACAGTTGAATAAGCCTGAAAATAAATGTAAACTGATAATTGGCCACATGCAAAAATTACTGCTCCACAAGAAAACAAATCATAAAACCTAGAACTGCATGCAATATTCATATAAAGTCAAAACCTGACATGCTGCTGAATTGCATCTTATATTATGCAGCTCTAGCAATGCTAAAAAACAGAAAATGCCAAAAATTGGCTTTTGAAAAAAATGGATAAAGATCATACCAATGCACGGCGATTACGTTTCCATTGTTGCAACTGTTCTTTTGGCATCAACCAAGGGGGTCTGTCACTGGCAGAATGCCCTCCAGATTCATTGGTTGCTTCCTGGGTAGAAATATCTTCATTTTCTAGTAAATTTGAATACTTATCATCCAAGGGTTTGCACAAGCCAAAATCTGAAAGCTTTAAATGGCCATTTTTGTCAAGTATCAGGTTATCTGGTTTTATGTCCCTGCATGAAGAACATTCTCTGAGTAAAGAAAAGGGAAAACTGAAAAATATGTTAATTCTCTGATAAAATTATAGTGATATCTACTATCAATCTAAAAATCTTCAAAGGTAATCCTGACCAAGCACAAGAACAATTTATGACAAACTTATGGCCCCTGTGACTCCTCAACCAGTGTTCTGGCTTCAAATGAAACTTACGATAAGCATGGAATCATCTATGAGTATATATGCAATGCCCTTTACAAGACTGAACCATTTGACTCCCAAAAAGATAAATAAAGAGCTTAGGCCCATAAAAACCTACAAAGTTGAAGATTGAGCTCAAATGTGCCAATTTCACAGGTCACAGAAACTGGGCAAAAAAAATTGGCATTCCAATCTAGAAATATACAAGGATCGACTCATTCGATGTCCTAAAACTCAGTCAATGCCATTAATAACAAAATGCAAACCAATCCCACAGGTAAATTATGTAAGCTTTGTAAGCTCTATAATTACAATATCGACATACCTGTGAACATAATTGTGCTGGTGAATAGAGTGTATGGCTAGGATGCTCTCTGCTACGTAAAAACGTGCAACATCTTCAGAAAGAGTATCTTCTCTCATCAATAATGTCATTATGTCTCCACCGGGTAAATACTCCATAATCAGATACAAGAAATCTGAATCTTGAAAAGAGTAGAAAAGTTTTACTATGCACCGACTATCAACCTCCGCAAGTAAGTTCCTCTCAGAACGGACATGCTCAACCTTTATACAGAGGGAAAAGAAAACAGGAAAAGATCAATACAAGTCACAATGCAGTGAGTTTAGTTGACTTCAGAGAGTTAGTATAGTTGAGCTCCGAATTCAGACAAGTTAAGCATGCTTTATTCAGTACCTATACACCTATTAGAATGGATTGAGGTCTAGTTAAGCTGAAATGGGCATTTGTCAGCACCCAAAAGGGATATTATCTTGAGCATCAACACTATCTCAATTACCGTGGTCTCACCTGCCCACGGCTAAGCATCTCTGACTTCTTCAATTTCTTCATAGCCAAAATCTCTCCAGTATCCTTGGCTCGGCATAACCTAACCTGATTTTTTGAAGATATTTATAGAAAAGCTTCATACTGTTCGAAATTGCAAATTAAATTACTTTTCACCCAGCACATGAATAAAAATCTCCGGAGAAGCCAAGGTAATATCAAGTCAATGAAAATGGACATGACAGCAAAAATATTTTCCCCAATTAGGCAAATATTTTTATTACAAATCTCATACAATATATTAGCAACTGAAATATAAATTTCTTATTATATTTAATCATTATAAAAATTTGAAACACAACAGGAATACTAAAAAAATTCAATATGATGAAATCGAAATTCATTACCTCACCAAATGCACCTTTACCAATCACAGTTAACTGTTCAAAGTCATCAATTCCAATTTTACGTCTTTGTAGTCTCATATACTCAGTTTCTCTGCGCTCCAAATTCCTAAGCATCTCCTCTTGTTCCTCATTTGAAACCTGAGCTTCTTGTGCTCTCCTTTGAAGTGCCCGTCGCCTAAACAAACAGAATTAAATGTAACTCATTACAAGCTTGAAAAAGAAAGGAAAAAAAAAAAAAGCAGTATACATTTACTTAAAAATTAATCAAATAGTAAGTGAAACTTAAGAGATAAATAAATGCAATTAAGTGCTAAGAATTATGAACCAAATATTCGACAACTACCTACAAGACTAATAAAAATACAACTAAAATGCAGTCTGCATTTATATAGGACCACATGCCTCAAATTTGACCTCTTTTGACTTCAATTGAAGCAACAATAAAATACCATAATTTCAAGTAGAATAGAATTTTACAAAAACTCTTTGTAAATCTGCACAGAGAAAAAGAAACACAGATAAAAGGATTAAATCCACACTGCTTACCTGTCTTTACGATCTTGCAGTCCCTGCAAGTAATTCTTATAATGATTCTCTATAAACTGTTTAGCTGCTGCAGATTTTTGTCTGGTAACCGGAGATGAAACGGACACATCGGGAACCGAATCGAAGTCGGTCCGATCCGGCTTCAAGTTCAAAGCCCCTAACCTCACCGTTCCATCACCACCGTCCATTTTAGTTTATGGAATGATCAGAACTGAATCAGAGACTCACCATAATCGATTCAGTGAACAGTATCAAGGAGAGATCTAGGAGCGTTTGAGAAAATGACTAAGAAAGATGAAAATTTTTGAAAGGAGATAAACTGGCAGATATTTATAAGGCTGAAAAGACTGTCTTATCTAATGATCTGTTTTGTTTGCTTCTTTTATTATCTTTATTATAATAACCAGTAGTATTAGTTGGAGAATGAAGTGTGATCAACGCCATCAGGTTTCGTTTACCTCGCACGAACTGGAATCCGTGAAGCACCGCCTTTTTATTAATTTTAATTACTCATTTCCAGCTTTGAGAGAGGGGCAAGAAATTCTATGCGGTCCTTCTTTTCTTTCATCCTTCTCCTTTTGGAGACTCTAAAATGTCGGCGGAGATCTATAGAGAGAAAGACAAATCATTCTGATTGGTGTATGGAGTCACGTGTTCACATGATTGGTGGCTGTGCCGTCCTCTAACCGATCTTTATTGGAACGTGGTGGTTAGGTGCTGTTGGGGAGAGTGGGGCTTTGTGACTTCAACCGTAGAATGATGTGAGTCTCATGGTGGTGCGTGCAAGTCAGATTTCGATGTACAGCCTTTAATGACAGATGGTCTCATGGAATTTACGTGGTCCATAGGGGACAACACATCACCAAGTAGAACGTGAGATTTACGATTTGGATTTTAGGATCCATTCATTTTGGTCCAGGCCTCTTGGCCTCGCTCCGGGATTTTTGTTCAAATTCAGCCTGGATGGCATGCAATTGGTGTTTCGTTTCTTTTCTTTCTCGCTTTTTCCCAGTAGACCCGTTAACTCAAACAGTAAAAGAAAATGATAATACACTCTGTGCATTTTTATTTTTTTTACACGCACTCGCTCAATTTCAATATTCATTTTACTATTTCTAAAGAAGTTTGTCAAATATTTTATACTTCGTTTTTTTTTTCAGAAAAATTTGTTTCAATCTCAAACTTTATTTGTATTGTAATTCGATCATTAAATGCTTGAAAGAAAGTAAAATGAAGAGAGTGAGATGGCAAGGCCAATTCTGCCCACCTTCCCACCTTCCACTGTCGAGTTCATTACTAATTTATATATTTTTAATAATAGAATCTATTTGTGGTAGTTACAAGTTATAAAATAATTAGATAAAGTAGATTGAGATCTGAAAATATTTTTAGTTTTTTTTAGTTTAATTTAAATTTTATAAGTTTTGTGTGTATTAAAATAGATTTTGAGATTCTATATAAATTTGTTGACGCTGTTTTTGCATTTTTGAAGTGTTTTGAGACAGACAAAAAAAAAAAAAACTAAATTTAGCTTTAGACAGGGTAAAATTAAAAATTCATTTTTTCGATAAAGTTTTCTATGAAATAAAGTTTGTCAAAAATTGTAAATGAACGATATGTCTTCTACTATGCAGCAAGCACACGACGCATCATTCTTTTTGTTTTTTTTTTTTTCTCTTTAGATTTGGCTTGGTCACCAGGGCCAAGTGCCTGAGCCTGCGCCTTAACTCAACTCTTTTTTTTAATAATTTATTTATTTTTCTATATGTATAGATTTTTAAATAAAATTTTAAAGTATGATTATTTTTGTTTTAAAAAATAAATTTATATAATGGATTGTTAGAATTTTCAAAATGAAAGTAGCATGAATATATATATTGTAAATTATTAATTTTTAAATTTGAGATAAGTCATCTAAAAAACACTTTTAATTTTTAAATTAAATTTACAAAATAGTTTTTAGTTAAGAATTCATGCGTTTTTAAATTTTAGTTTTAGATTATTACAATTTTTAGTTCATAATCCAAATAAAGAAGAATAAATCATAATTTTTTAGTAGAAAATTTATGCAAAATGTAAACACAAAATTTTGATTAAAAAATTACAAAATTGAATGAATTTTTTTCTTATCTTTGATTTGATGTATTTTAGTGGACTCATAATATAGTGCATACCATAAAATTGAAATGATTTTTTAAAATTATTTTATATATTTTATTCGATTTACAACGTAGCACGGATAAAAAATTAGTAGACTTGCTATATAGAAGAATTCATTCTCTTTAATTTTTTTCTTTTTATATGTGTTAGAAATAAATATCCCTTTTACTTCCACACATTACTCAACATCAAAACTAATAAAATTTAAATATTCAACATTCATAAAATTAGTGCAAACTAATTATCTTCACTCTTTAAGAAGGCCCACTAAACTTAATGAAAATAGCCATTTTTCCATTTTGAAGTCTTAATAACCAGTTATCCCATTAGGGAATAATCCAATCCAAATTAATTTGTTGACTTCATTAATTAATTGAAAACCGAGAAATAGTCAATCTCACAGAAATGTAAAATTATGGGTTGCGAAATACCTAACTAGCACTCTTATTGAAATGAATCACAGATTTTGTTTCAGCGAGCTCTCAAGCTGAGAACCCACTATAAAAATGTCACGGCTTTGTAAATATTACTATATTTGTGAAACCTCAGATCAAGAAATTAACTAACCATACTTAATTACATGGCCAGTCGCATTACAATACGCGATTTGAGATCATTGTGATCTTAAATGATTCACATTAAATTCATGTGCTATCATTATTCAGAGCCCAAGTGGTCAAGTTGTAATAAGAACTAGCCAACTTGCCTGCTCTCTCTCTCTCTCTCTCTCTCTCTCTCTGTCGTATTAATTTTACCTGAATTTGTTTATCATGTTTTAGAAGCGTATCAGACAAACCACTGGTGGGGTCATGAAGCAGTCATTAGAGGCTTGTATGTATCAGACAATTTGTTTATCATGTTTTAGAAGCGTATCAGACAAACCAGCAAGCCAGCTTCCATAGCTTCATGTTGTAATTTTCGGAAAAGTCCCATATTATTCTCTATGTAATATGATACAAAAGAGCGCGCGCACGCATATATACTAATAAAGCTTTTTCCACTCATTATATATGTTGATTTTTTTCAGTTGAATATAGATAAACAAATATATTGAGTGGCGACAGCTTTGTACAAAGAGTTTGAAATCCAGCGATATTGATTTTTTATAACAAAAAATTAGAGGTTCAAAGTCTTGTATGTATGAGTTAAAAAATAAAGTGATGAAAGCTTTATTAGTCTTGTAGCTTGAGCTTAACAATGTAGTGTAGTTTTTCTAGTGGGCAAAATTTGCTAGCTCTACACTTGTAGAAGTCTGAACGTGGTCGTTGGTTTTTGGGACGGTGGAATTTTCTCTGGACAAATGAATCCTTGCCCATCTCCAAATCCGCCTTTTTGTTAATAGTGTTTGAATGTAGCTCAGGATCTGCAGATTGCTTCCCATACGCAAAATAGCAACTAGGAATCCAAAGGCTGAAGAGCTACCGGATAATATGAATAGCCCAGCAAAAGGCTTGAGATCTAAGCTCGTGTTATCCCTTAACGCTTTAGAGGAGCAATTGGAAGAGGCTAGCATCTCTTCCAATTGTTGCATTTCTCCACTCTCAACAACTTTCAGGATTGCCTCCGACATGTCAAGAACCAGAGGAGAGCCCTTTGGAAAAACCTGGAAATGAAATCCATGCAAGTATTAGAATTCACTTTATGCAAATTAACGTGTCAATGAAATGAGGAAGCAAAGACAAAGGAGAGAACATAACAAAGCCAAAACCGCCTAACTGAAATGTAGGCTCTGCTCTTGTGTATCCCTCGCAGTATTTTCCCAGGAAGACTTTTGCATGTGGCTCAACAAGGAATGCTGCTTTGATATCTCCAGTTTCAAAGGCTTCTAGGTAATCGCTTTCTGAATAGAACTTTCTGATATTTTCTGGCTTGAAATGCAAAACGTTAGTCAAATATCGCACAACAAAGGAGTTCCCATTGCAACCAACAGGTGCGTTTGTTTTCATTAGTGTTTCAATATCCAAAACTGATGGTTCTAGCCGTGAGACAGTCATCCTTGAGGAGAGGTTAGCTGTAAAGGTTGCCGTGATGACGAGAATCGCAAATAACCATGGTGCCACCACTACTCGAGCTAAATTGTTTCTAAGAGGTTGCCCTATATTTGGTAAATATTAAGAAAATTAAGCCAAAGCCTTATACAATAACAAGAACTGGCGACAATTATCGTTTGCAAGTTAATCGAATTATACTAATTACCTTGTGCATAGAATATTATGGTGACAGAAAACCACAACATAGCCCCGATTCCTTCGAATTCATTGTTGTTCCCGCGTTCAATTATCCATACTAGGCATCCTATGAACATATGCATCGCTGCCATTAGCAGCCACAACCTTGTGGTAAAGGTTTTCAGCATCCATGTTATCTTGGACTTGGCTGATTTCCCTATTACTATCATGATGAGTCTGGAATCAATGTATGGCTGAGAAAATTCTGCAAACTGAAATCGTCCGGGCTCTATTGAAAAGTCACCAACAGCTGCATCCAAGTCCTGTTTGCATGAGTTAACCAATTTCATTACACAGAAGTTGAGCACTATAACATCACAAACCAAAATCATGGAGGTATATAGTTGATACTGTGATCAATTTGAGAAACAAAATTTGGATCTTGTTTTCATAGCAAACTAATGACAGAAGAAAAATAAACAAACCTGACCTTGTGATAAACTTGCTCCACCATCTCATCGTATGTGCCATTGAAAGGAACGAACACAAAATGCAAGTTATAGGGGAGACGCTTCACAGTTGCTTCAAATACATTAATTGAGAACCCCGTGGCACAAGTTCTATTGTTGGCCTGGTCAAAACACATCCTCACAAATTGATGAAAAGCACCGCTAGCAGGAATTCCTATCTTCAAAGGTTTATCTGTCTCAGAAATCACCCATCCCTTCGGAACATTGCGCTTTCCACCAGGCCAATAAATGGATCCCCAGTCTTCCAAAGAACTGCTGGCATTCACCCCATTATCTTTCTCTTGGTTCTTTAAAAAACCGAGTTCTGGTGACCAAACTGCCATCTCTCTATAGCTGTTACCTACAACATTAATGATGTGAAATGAAGGTAATTGGCTCAAAAAATTGTTCTTAAACCTTATTACGCCACTCAGACCTCTAAATTTGCTGGATAAGATGCCTTTGGATAATTTTTCTGAGCTTATATCTCCTGGTGATTTCTTCATAGCTTGAGCAATAGCCCAAGTTGCATCATAAGCACGAAGAGCGAATATACTCGGATTACAGTATTCTTCTTCTTCTGGATACTCTGATCGATACTCGCTGCGAAATCTAGATCTAAACCGTTTAAAAGGCTTGCTAGTGTGTACAAATCCGGTTCTAAAACCAATTACACCTTGCATGTTTTTGACAACAGAAGAATCCACAGAGTCAAGAAGGCTTGCTATCTCATCCGTGACAATCCAAACATAACCTCTCTCCATCATCCCCAACAGCTTTGCTTTCTCAAACAGCAGGACAGCCATTTCTAAAGAAGATAATATAACTATGAAAACCCTGTTGCTCCTGCTCCTCAGATTTATAAGCTCTTGTTCAATAAGGACTTCTGGGTTTGATAGAAAAGGCATGGAAGGTAAAGTTGAGTGGTGTTCGATGTCTGTGTTGACAGCTTTGAGCATGTCAGATAGGAGAGCTAAGATTCCAGAATAAGCAGAGAAACTATTTTTTGATTCATATATCACTGTCACTTTCCTCCACTTGAACTGACCTACAATGGCAGCTATGCATTGAATGTGGAGGGTGATGTGGTCACTCATTTGAAGGAAATATGGCAATTGATGCGCTATCGAAGGTGGGGTTATTGCAGGTGAAGTTAAAGATACTATAGGAATATCCTTGATGTTTCTGTCAATCTTGGAGAGAGAGCCAGTTTCTTGAGCTGTCATTGTTCCCACGATCGCCTTCGCTTTGCTACTAACAAGCTCAATTGCTGCAGTAATGACATAAGGGGGCCTGTTATTGGCGACAAATATTTGGGCTTTATATCCAAAAAAACAGAAGAGGTAAGCATTGGAGTGACCGTGTAATGTTTGCGTACTAGAAATAGATCGTTGTTATTTATTCCTCGAGTCAAATTTAATTTCAGTTCCCGAACTCACAGTGTGATTATGCAAATATAGTATTTGGGCCAAATCCGATGGGGAGTTAACCTGATTAAGTATTTTGGTCTTTTCAAGATATGGAGGAAATTATTTTCCTTCTATATTATTGATTCGTATCCACTGGGATAATTGGATCCATATCTTAGGTGGTTCAACAACATACCAAATCTGACATGGGTTAAGTTTCGATTTTCGGATCAATCCATGTGGGCCGACTGGACCAAATTCGAAGCCTGGTATTGGTTGGGAGTTGACATTGTACAATTCTTTTTTTTTCCCTTAAGAAAATGCAATTACCACCAAAACTCATGAGTCAAGACCCATTAGGAAAGGAAGGTAACTTACCATGAAGAACTTTGGCACATCATATATGTGCCACTTTTTCATTGTATCAAAATTATGAGTTCCGTGGTATCACATTGTTTATGCTAGTAAAAAAACCGACACATCTGCATTGTATTTTTTATGCAATTCAATTTTTTTCTTTTTGTATTTTTTGTCATCGTTTATGACTATATACTTTTTACCAGTGATGCTGATCTTTTTGTCGAATTAACAATTCCGTTTGTTGCTTATTTATACATACACAGACACATTACTCTATGAAGGATTGATATACAAATTCTCCAATATGAAATTAATATTCACGGCTAATCCTGTCAAGATCTTTAACGTCAGACTAGATCTATCAACTTAAATGGTCAAGTATTCCTGACATGGGATCATCTGGTTTGCAATAGATCTCGGCGAGGACCTTGCAAGGCGGAGGTCTTAAGCTGAAGAAAAGCAACGACTAGTATAGTTTCCACGATGTACCTTTTAAGCATGAATTTGTTTGTTCTAATCATGGCTATATATTTACGGTTACGAGAAAAAAAATCATCTGCTATCTATATGGCAGCTATATTTTTTTCTAGTTGATGATTTTGGAAAAAAAACGTTACTTACGTACTGCTAATTAATTTGCGAGAAGTTAAGGCTCTTTTTCTTTTTTTCTTTTTTTCCTTTTTTTGGTGGCTTGATGAATGGAGAAGAGAAGCCTTACTAGAAGACGCAGCTTTAGCCGAGTCTCCACGTGAATCTTCAAGTTGCAAGACCAGCTGCTTAGAGCAACTTGAGCGAGCAAAGTCTTCAACAGCCATCTTCATTGCGACTTTCTGCTCTTTTCCAACACGAGACCCATAGTCTAAAACGCCACCTATGTTCTCCATTATGTGGCGGGTGAATGGGCAGTTATCCCCAGCTGCTTCACCAGCGTTAGGTTTTGACACCACCGCTAGCAGCGAAAGCATGAAAAATGAGAGGATCGCAAGGGACATTTTTGCTTTCTAGTTAAGAAGGTAAATTGAATGAGAAGAATTGTGCCATAGATAGCAAGGAAATTTATAGGAGGATTTGAGAAAGAAATGTTCAAACCTGTAAGCAAAATACCAGAAATTTCTTGATTAAGAAATGTTAGTTAATTAACAGGTCATTCTTTTGATGCAAGTTGTAGTGATTAAGCATCTTTGCTTACGGGCTACGGCCGGCATCTCCGTTTTCCTTTTGTTTTGGTCAATTATAATGTATACATCACTTTCATCTTTGTTTCCTCTTATGTACGTGATTTCTACTCTGCTACTAGGAAGTCAATATATCTTTGTTTTCCAGATGTTTGACTGGCTATAATTACCCCGTTATTTCTGCTAGTTTTCATTGGCTATTAAGTTCAGAAGAATTATGGCCAACTTGTTTAATAGTAATATTATATATTGTGACCAGAACAGAAGATTTTTTATGAAAAAAAGTCGGTTCAACTCGTCGAGGTATTAATAAGATTCAACTTCCCATCCTTCTAACACAATCAAACGAACAAATTTGACCTCAAAATAATTAGGTAAGCTTATGACAGACTAAAATAGACTTTGATTTTAAGAGTTTAATTTGGGCCAATCGATTTTTTCTTTTTTCTTTTCTTATTTGAACTCCTCCCGTCTGATTTATGTTAATTTGCCATTGATTGTTGTTGTCTAAATCCATTCAAAACGAAGCTGCGTACTCTGTCATTTGTCGTTGATATTTTATTTTTTTAATCAAACTAGGAATTGGAAACGTTCTGCTATACATCATTGAGTCCAATCAAGATTTACTACGACAGTAAGTCCACCTACAAAAAGTAAGTTGGTCAAGACCCAATCTGTGACGAGTCCCAAAATTCTTGACCCAACTCAAAAATAAATAGCTGGGCAAGGAACTCGATCTTCAGCGACGAGCAGAGTAACGTGACCATTGTTCATTAACGCTGTTCAATTTTTGACAGCTAACTGAGGAAGTGAATTAGAACTCGCAAACTGAATCAACGATATAGTTGGTCCTTCTATTAAGAGAAAATATTTTGTTGAATCTCTCTGCTATATAATGTTGCATTGTATTGTTGTACAATAAAATTTTATTTATTATCAACTCTACGTTTGTCTTTGTATGTCGACAGTGTTAGCACTTAACGGTTGGTTGATGAATGATATCGGAGCATGTGTACATGAATCATTTTTTTTTTCACCAAAATTTTGTTTTATGCAAAATGTCAAATAACTTTTGTCAAATAAAAGAAAGCAAAATCTGACATATGGTTTTAAGAATATATACCAATTCTTTTTATAGAATATATACGTAAGATTTTAATTGTTTTCTTTTTATTTAGCAAAAAATGAAATCCTAATAAATTTTTTTGTTCAAATCCAGGTGTTGCGATACTATTCATTAACCATTAAGTCTGAATGCTGTCAACGTACGGAGAATTGATCTTAAATAAAAACTTTATCGTACAGAAACACAATGCGAAATTATGTTGGTAGAAGGACTCGATAAAACATTTTCTACTAATAGAAAGACTAATATATCAAAAGCCCCTTAATCAACAAAGAAATTAAGTGCGAGTCTGAGTATATTAATGATTCAGAAGCTAACATATAAATACATGTTCCACAAAGAAAGGTCAATCCATACAAGTAAATTTAGAGTTGCCAAAGCGTTATTGGTAGGTAAAAATGTAAAATAACACACTAACTTCTTTCTGGAAGCAAAATCTCATGGTTCAACACGGGAGAGTCGAAGAAGCCTCCACATGGTCATTTGTTTTAGGGTTGGGGGAACTTTGTCTGGACAATTCAATACTTGCCCATCTCCAAATCCTTCTTCTTAAGAACGCTGTTTGAATATAACTCAAGGGGTGCACATTCCAACCCATACGAAAAATGGCAACAAAGGATCCGAAGGCTGCAACGGTACCAGATACTATAAAAAGGCCAGCAAAAGGCTCAAGGCCTAAACTTGAGGTGTCACTTTCGATAGTTTGAGAGGTGCAATTAGAAGAGGAGAGCAACTCTTCTAACTGGCGCAATTCTCCGCTCTCTACAACTTTGAGGGTTGCCTCCGAGATGTCAAAAGCCAGAGGTGAAGCCTTTGGAAACACCTGAGAAGGAAAACCAATAAAATGAAGTATAAGAATCTCTTTTTATGCAAATTAATGTGCAGTGAAATGAGGAGCAAACACGAAGGCTAGAAATCAACAAAGCCAAAACCGCCTAGCTTGAAGGTAGGTCCTGCTTTGGCGTAGCCTTTGCAGTATTTTCCAAGGAAGACTTTTGCATGAGGCTCCACAAAGAATGCTGCTTTAATATGTCCAGTTTCAAAGGCTTCTGGGTAATCATGTATTGAATTAATCTTCTTAATGTTCTCTGGTTTAAACAGCAAAACATTAATCAAATATCTCACAATAAATGAGTTCCCATTGCAACCAACAGGTGCATTTGTTATTTTGAGTGTTTCAACATCCAACACTGATGGTTGGAGCCGTGAGACTGTCATTGTCGATGAAAGGCTAGCTGTAAAACTTGCCACGACAATGAGAATCACAAATAGCCACGGTGCCAGCACTAATCGAGATAAGTTGCTTGTAAGCGGTTCTCCTGCAAGTGTTAATTGGTCAAAAAATTAAGCCAAAGCCTTACAGAATAAACAAGAATTGCAAATTAATCAAACATGCATGAATTGATTAATTTTAACGTGACAGTGTTGTAGTTATACTTACGATGTGCATAGAATATTATGGTAACAGAAAACCATAACATTGCCCCGATCCCCTCGAATTCACTGTTGCTCCCGCGTTCAATTACCCATACTAGCAACCCTATGAACAAATGCATCGCTATCATTAGCAGCCACATATTTTTCGTAAAGGTTTTCAGCATCCATGTTGCCTGCGATGTTTCTGCTTTCTGAGTTACTACCATAACAAGTCCGGAATCAACATATGGCTGTGAAAATTCTACGTACTGAAATCGATATGCCATTATTTCTGTATCCCCAACAGCTGCATCCAGGTCCTATTACAAGAATCAGTCATCGTCATCAGCCCTGAAAGAAGGTTAGCTCCAATATCAATTCATAAACAAAAATGAAGTAGAAAAACAAGCCTGACATTGCGATAAACCTGCTCGACCATCTCATCGTATGAGCCATAGAATGGAACTAACACATAAGGCAAGTTATAAGGCAGGCGCTTGACCGCTGCTTCAAATACATTAATTGAGAACCCTGTTACACAAGTTGCATTCTGGGTCTTGTCAAAGGTCACCGTAACGAATTGATTGAAAGCACCCATAGCAGGAACCCCTATCCTCAATCGGATATCTGCATCAGAAATCGCCCATCCTTTTGGAATTGTACTTTGCATTCCACCTGGCCAATAAACAGGTCCCAAATTTTTCAAAGAACTGTTTGCTTTCGCTTCATTATATTTCTCTTCACTCTCCAAGAAACCAAATTTTGGGGACCAAACTGCCATCACTCTGTAGCTGTTACCAACAACATTAATGATCTGAAACGATGGCGATTGCCATAATTCATTGTTTTCAAACCTCACAGTTCCACTTAGACCTTTAAAATTACTGGATAAAATGCTCCCAGACAATTCTTTTAAGGTCATTTTGCCCTGTGATTTCTCCAGAACTCGAGCAATAGCCCAAGTTGCATCATATGCGCGGAGTGCAAAGATACTTGGATTAGAATATTCTTCTTCTTCCGGGTACTCTGATCCATACTTTTTTCTAAATCTAGATTTAAAACGTTTAAAAGAGCCAGTAGTCTGAGCGAAGTTTGTCTTAAAACCAATCACGCCTTGCATGTTGCTCACGACAGAAGAATCAACAGAGTCGAGAAGGCTTGCAATCTCATCTGTGACAATCCATACATAATCTTTCTCCATCATCCGCATTTGATTTGCCTTATCAAAGAGCAGGATAGCCAATTCTAAAGAAGATACTAAAACTATGAAGACCCTATTGCTTTTGCTCCTCAGCTTGATAAGCTCTTGTTCAATGGTGATTTCAGGGTTTGATATAGAAGACAAGGAAGAGAGATCTGAGTAGTCTGCGATCTCTGAGTTGACAACTTTAAGCATGTCAGACAGGAGAGTTATAATTCCAGCATAAGCAGAGAAACCATTTCTGTGTTCGTACAAAGCTGTCACTTTCCTCCACTTGAAGTGGCTTACTATGTCAGCTATGCATTGCATGTGGAGGGTTATATGGTTACTCATTTGTAGGAAATACGGCAATTGTTGTGCCATCAATGGTGGGGTTAGTGCAGGCGAAGTTAAGGATATGATAGGAATGTCCTTGATGCTCGCATCAACCTCCGAAAACATGCCAGTTTCTTGAGCTGTCATTGTCCCGATGATCGATTGGACTTGTTTGCTACTAATGAGCTCAGTTGCTGCATAATGGTTATAGGCCAAAGGGGTAAGCGTAGGCAGACAAATATCCTTTTAAATCAAAAATCTACAGCGGAGCCTCAGAACTGCTTCCTTTTCTTTCCTAAAATGTGCAAAGAGATTGTGATTCAAGGTAATCACTCCTATTCTGAACATGACCAATTAGTTGAACCACAGTACAGTAAAGTTTAATTCATAAAATTTTTTTAAAAAAATGACACCCGGAAGCATCACCCTGTTTATATATATGTATATAGTTTTGCCGTAACAAATGCTCATTCCGTCACCCTTCACCTATATAGGAAAATACTTCAATTTGTATTCTATATATCCATGAAAATAATTATTAATCAACAATTATATTAAATTTTATATGATTTAAGTGATTTATTAAAATATATATGTGTGTGTGTGTGAAAATAAAAATAATAATCATATTAAGTTTAATTAATATGGTATATCAATTCCCATCCATAGTTTAATTTAAGTGGATGAAATGAAAATTCTAAGAGTATTTTCCATTATCTTTATCATGTTGGTTTTTTTTTTAAAAAAAAAAAGCCCTTT